TCTGCTCCTCTCGTCTGGAGGCGGCGTGGGGATGGTTTTCTACGGGGCACTAAATGTGAGGTTTACGATATGTGTGGTTTGAAGGGAACTATAGGGGTTGTTGAAACGGGTGAGTACAAGAGGGCTACAAGAAACAGGTGGTTTATGAGGGTTGGGGCAGTGGTATGATGGAGGGATTCACGCCGTTCCGGAGCACTCACCGAGGCATTCAAGTCGTCTGTGCTTGGGGTATCGCACTTAGATGCCCAGGGGGCTTAGTAAGCAGGTTTTAAGTAGAGTTAGAAGTAGTTATCACTAAACCCTAAACCCTAAACCCGAAAACCCTAAACCCTAAACCCTAAACCCTAAAACCCTAAACCCTAAACCCTAAACCGGTTATAAGCTACTTATGGCCGACTTACTAAGTCCCCCGGGGCGGGCTCCCGGGCTTTTGGTTCCTCGGTGCCCCGAATCTTAAAAAGGAGCCATCTTATGAGGGTTTAGGGTTTAGGGTTTAGGGTTTAGGGTTTAGGGTTTTAGGGTTTAGGGTTTTAGGGTTTAGAGTTTTAGGGTTTAGGGTTTAGGGTTTAGGGTTTAGGGCTTGGGGTTTAGGGTTTAGGGTTTTAGGGTTTAGGGTTTAGGGTTTAGGGTTTTAGGGTTGAGGGTTTAGGGACCTAAATGGGAGTTTCCGAAAATAGGGGACCCAAATATAGTACCCTAACTAGTAAGGTCCCTATGATAAGGAGCCCCAAATAAGGTACCCCTGTTTTCGGAAACTCCCAAATAACTAATGACCAGTCCTATTTTGGTGGGTTCCTTAGTATTTCAATAGTATAAGATTTGCCAAGACCCTATTGTAATTGTTACCCCTTTATCAATCCCAGCTGAACCTTCCGAATCTACTTCTGATAAGTGCCGTGACACCTCTGAATCTTCAACCTTCAAACCCTAAGCCTTCGACTCGAAGGCCAGCCCCAAACCCTAAGCCCTCGCCCTAAAGACCTACAGTTGATGATATATATATATATATATATCCTGCATTACCCAGAATAAGGAAAATACCAGAATTCCCATAGTCTAGGGTCATTATAAGGTAGTGCAGGATTTATATCATCAGCCCCAAACCCTTGCAACCCTCAAAACCCCATAGATCCCGTAAAGGAACGCCCTTAAAGGTACCCGGTACCCTCATAGATCTCTTTAATGGAACCCCAGGTTTTATATCATCAGCCGGCAACCCTGAGCCCCCCAAACCCCTGAGCCCTAAGCTCATAGGGGGCCCTTAGGGGGGGAAGGTTGAGGGGTTTTCAGGGTTTACGGTTTAGGGTTTGGGGTTTAGGGTTTAGGGTTTGGGGTAGGGGACTATACTTCCTTCGATAGGCCTTATGGCTATTAAGGCCCCCTACCCCCCGTGAGCCCTGCCCCAGTAAGGGCCCCTATGATAAACCCCTAAAGCCCTGGGAAGCCGCCAAGCTCCGAATGTGTGGAAGGTAGCCCAGAGTGACCAGGCTGTTCAGTGGTACACTTTTTTACTTTTAGGTTTCTGGGTTCCTACTGTAAAATAAGAAGCCTAAAAAGTATATACTTTTTCCCTGTGGGTTACTGAACAGCCTAGGTGATGTCGATCCATCATGGAAAGGCAGCGAAGCTTTCAATGGTCAGGGCTTAGGATTTCAGGCGTTAGGCTTGAAAGTTGGGCCGTCAGGCCTGTGTTGTGGCTTTTGGGACAGAGGTTGAGTGTTGAGTTCTTGGAGCTATGGAGTTTAAGCTTGCTCTGGAGTTTGTTTGGCCTGGGGCCAGGGTGGAATGTTTTCTGGGTGTTCTTCATTTGCTCATCCTGGTTGCGTATAGAAGGGAAGACTAAGGGAAGAATCGCTTTGTTACCCGGGTATGATAGTGAACAAGGAATAAGAGAAATGCTATACGAGGAGCTGGAAGGAAGAACAACAGTATTGACGAAGCGAAGAGCAATCGCGGAGACTGAGCCAGGAACAAGAGCAAGCCAGTAGTGCTGCTTAATCATGGATTGACTGATGCAGCTACTAGTCCTAGTAGTAAGGGTATTGTATCGACGACCAATGCTGTTACGGCTGATCTTCTGCCGGGCACTCCTAGTAGCAGTAGTTGTAGCAGTAACGCAGTCGTGATTGGTAGTGGTCGTGATACTGGTAGTGAAGGTGGTAGCGCTAGTGGTAGTGATATCGCTGGTGGTAGTGGTATTGGTAGTGGTAGGTGTAGTGGTAGTTGTAGTGACGGTGGTGGTGGTAGTAGTAGCACTAGTACTCGACTCGCACCAGTGCTAGCAGTGACGACGAATACGAGTACCACCAGTACCCCACCGCCACCACCGCGAAAATGCTACCAGATGATGCATGTACACGAAGGAGAATACGCCACCCCTGAACCCTAAACCCTAAACCCTAAACTTCTTATCCCAGGCTACAAAGTCTGGCTCGGGCTTACCAGCATCGGCTTCACGGCGATGCGGCCTGTCCAAATGGGAGTTTCCGAAAAAAGGGGTACCTTATTTTGAGCTCCTTATAGTAGGGATCCTAATATTTAGGGTGCTATATTAGGGTCCCCTATTTTCGGAAACTCCCAAATGTAGTTGTACAGAGGTTTGCAAGCTTATGGAAGGCTTGTGCTGGCGGCTGGCTGGGTTTGTTCGGCGTTCGGTGAAGGGCTTGTTAAGGATTGTGCAGGGCTTTCAGGTTTGGCCAAAGGCCGGAAGCCGCTCCGCCGGCAACGGTGTCCACTTTTGCACAAAAAGATCTTCCATTCGGGGTGGGTCCTTGCAATCTAGGTTTTCAGCATGTTTGTTTCCTTTCAGGACTTGGGGTTTAGGGTTTAGGCGTTCTAGTGTTCATGGCTCAAAGCAATGAAGAACCGGACACCAACAGGTGCACTCGTCTTGCGAATGGTGCGCTCCCCCGGCTTCTCGCTACTTCTATGACGACGACGGCTCCTCCCACTTCTTCTGCTGCTGCTGCTGCTACTACTACTACAAAACTACCACTGCCACCACTACTACTACGACGACGACTACTACTGCTGCTGCTACTACTACTACTACTGCCACTGCGATTGTGGTTATTCAGTCCTCTTGGCTAAATCATTGGTGATCTTCTTCACCGGTTTCCTGCTTGATTGTTGGTGCCATTGGCCAGTTAACAGCTACAGCTCCGATTTGCAATATGTAGTTTCTATGTGCTACATATGGTCTACTGGCAATAGTTTGTTGCGAGACGCACGTTTCATTTACCATCGCCGTCTCTCCGTATCTCCATCTCTCTCTCTCTCTCTCTCTCTCTGTCTATCCATCTACCTGATCCAACCTACCTATCTATCTGTCTATTTATCTATGTAATCACACCCACATGCCTTTACACTTAGGTCTCGTATCGATATATCTGGTGCCCTGCCCACAAACCCTCGACTCTGCTGTAACTCCTAAGCCCTAAACCCTGAACTCTGAAACCCTAAACCCTAAACCCCTAAAGGCCTAAAGCCCTACTGTAAACCCGAAAACCCTAAAGGCCTAGAGCCCTAAACCCGAAAACCCTAAAGGCCTAAAGCCCTAAACCCGAAAACCCTAAAGGCTTAAAGTCCTAAACCCGAAAACCCTAAACCCTAAAACCCTAAAGGCCTAAAGCCCTAAACCCGAAAGCCCTACACCCCAGGCACAGCAAGGGAACTTTCATAAAACAAATTTGTATACATTTTTTTATGCCTGTCTTCACCCCAGGCACAGCAAGGGAACTTTCGACGATCCCGAGACCAAGAAGTTGAAGAACAAATGGCTTCAACATCTGGTGCTCTCGGATGCAGAGCACGAGGCGAGGGCTCCTTCCAGGGTTCCTTTAAGGGGTTCCCTTTAAGGGCTCCTTAAAGGGTTTGGGGTTTAGGGTTTAGGGTTTGGGGTTTAGGGTTTGGGGTTTAGGGTTTTGGGTTTGGGTGTTTAGGGTTTGGGTGTTTAGGGTTTAGGGTTTGGGTGTTTAGGGTTTGGGGTTTAGGGTTTAGGGTTTAGGGTTTGGGGTTTAGGGTTTGGGGTTTAGGTTTTAGGGTTTGGGGTTTAGGGTATAGGGTTTAGGGTTTAGCTTTAAGGGGTTCCCTTTAAGGGCTCCTCCAAAAGGGGTCCCTTTAAAGGGGTTCCTCTTAAGGGGCTGGGTTCCTTTTAAGGGGTCCTTGAAGGGCACCATGAGAACATTGTAGCAGAGAGTTCCTGGAAGGGTTCCATAAAAGGCTCCAGAAGGAGGAGGGTTCAGGGTTTAGGGTTTAGGGAGCCTCACGACTTGCAAGACTAGTCCTTTGATATTTACTACTTATTTTACCACGAAGCCCTGCTCTAAGCAGAAATTAAGGCCGTTGGAGTACAAGGGTTCTCATTTTCCCTGACCCAAAACCCTAATCGCACTCAAATCACTCTACGGTTTAGGGTTTAGGAGTCAACCCCAAAGGCCTGAACAACCCGCTTGAAATTCATGGTACTTGGAGGCCCGGGGGACTTAGTAACTTAGTAAGTAGGTTGTAAGTAGAGTTGTAAGGTTACCCCAATTATGACTCTGCTTATAACCCAGGGCTTAGGGTTTAACCTTGTGCTGTTTAAACTTCAGGGGTTCGGAACTTATATATAATTATTATAACTTCAGGGCAGTTCAACACAGCCCCTTTAAACCCTGAACTCTAACCCGATCCACGTAGCCTGGAGCCAAGAGCAGATTGCCTGGGGACGGAACTCAAAGCCTTGCTGCTGGGGCCTCAATAACTTGAACCGGGGTATTCAGGGGTCCTTTTAAGGGTTGCTCTAAGGTATAAGCTTTCTGGGATTTCACAGTGTTGTATGTTGGGGGAATTCTTGCTCGGAAGAGGATCTTGGGAGTATAAAAGGCAGTAACTATATCGCGGCAGTTTTATCGTTAATTATGTGGCCTTGTAAGTGCAACCGGACGGCTACGGCTCAAGTGTTCGCAGGTCGCACAGCATACTCCATTCCTCCCAATCGCACTTCGTGGCCTGGAATCATGGCTCCTCGCGTTGTCCTCGCCCTCTTGGCTACAGCAGCAGGCGCGATGAAGTGCCCTGGTTCCAAAAGTTGGATCCACGCTTGGGCGGAGGTGGAAGCCGTGGCAAGTGCCAGCTGCGCTGATGTGATGGAGGAGATGAAGGCACGTGTGGAGGGCTCTTGGGTCGACCCGCACAACAAAGGCACCTACAGCCTCCTCTCCGAGAGCTCGGACGAGTTGGACTTTCAACGCATCACGGGCAACAAGAAGTACACGGACAAGATCACCTTCACCTTCTCCGATTTCAATGCGCAGGGTGCGAAGCCAAGCTGCGGCATCCACGCTTGCTCGGAGTCGCAAGTCTTCTCCATCGGAGACTTCTCGACCAACTACTGCAACATCAGGAACCTCTACTGTGGGTCGGAGGCTAGGTTCCTGAGTAGTGCCCTTTTGCCCTTTTTAGTTCAGGGTCCCATTATTAAAACCGAATAGTAGGAAAAAGGGTAGCCTTATTATAAAGGGGTTACTCAGAAACCTAGGAGGAGAATTGCGTGTATGTCAAGCATGACTTTGAGACCAGTGAGCAGACAGTGAAGCACAACATTGGTGCCGGTGAAGACAAGACGGCTTGCATCGTGCCGGCAGCCTTTGTCGTGTGAGCTGGCCCTCGAAGAAGCCCCAGTACCTGCTTTAAAACAGGCTACTGACAGCTTGGGGTAGGGTTGGAGAGCATCTTCAAATCCCAAAGCCCCAGGCATAGCTTGCCGAAAACGTCTCTCTTAGCTATGATGGCGGACGAAGGTCGCTGTCAGATCAATCTCGAGGAGACGCGGCTTCAAGAAAAAGCTGCAGACGGGTTTGAGGGGGGGTTTGGGGTTTAGGTTGCTTAGAGGCCCGGGGGACTTAGTAACTTAGTAAGTGGGTTATAAGTAGAGTTATAAGTACCCTAAATGGAGTTACACCAATTTTTTACCCTACTTAAAACCGACTTACTACGTCCCCTGGGCCTCCAAGTGGGGTTTAGATTGGGGTTTAGGGTCTAGGGTTTAGGGTCTAGGGTTTAGGGTCGTAGAATTTAGGGTGTAGAGTTTGGGGTTTAGGGATTCAGATTCAGGTCTGGGTTCAGGTTTGAGGCTTCGGATGTCGGCTTCGGACTTACGGTTGATGAGGTAAAATCCTGCATTTTACCCATAGTAGGGAATATACCGTAACTCCCATACCTTAGGGTCGTTGAGGTAATGCAGGATTTATATCATCAACCGTAGGTTGTAGGATCCCCCTGGTTCAAGATACTCCCTACGACCATCCAGTCGACAGGGCATGGGTCGCAACGAATTTGTGCCAGAATAGACCTACTGTAGGGACCTTAAACAATTGCCTGTAGTATTTTGGGGATTCCTTCTTAGTGTATTATGGTGAAACCTACCCCAAATCACGATTGGCCCCTACATTAGAACCACCTTTTTTTTCAATTTTTCACTGTGAAGCATGAAGGATGAGGGGTCATGTACGAAACCAATCTTATGTTCGACTCAACCAGGCTTCTCTGACACTGTGGTAGCACCATGCACAGTCACTTGCAGAAAGCTTTCGGGTAAGGATGCCACTTAGTATCCCCTTATGAGTGTTAGCCAAGCTGCCCCTTTACTCCCGCGATTCTGGGCCCTGACCCACCAGACACTTATCCCAGAAGCCTTAACTATACTTGGCGTTCGTCTCGTTGGCTCTTAGGACTTTGACTTCTTAGGGCTTCTATATTAACTAAGGAGGCAAAAAGTTCGACTGTTAGAGGGGTGCAGAAGTCAGCCAAGTGTACGTAGCAAGTTCCGAAGCCCGACCCTGGACGCCGAGACCAAGTAGAGAAGCCCTCAATAATCTACTGCCTCCCTCTCATGGCTAAGACCATGCTTTAGCATATCACCAACAATCTATCTGGGAAGTCTTCAAAAGCCCTTCTAGCAAGAGACCTTTACCAAAAATGTAGAGCAACAGACAGCCTGGGTGCACCGCGATATGGCCTTATGGCCCGTACTTGGAGGTTCAGGGGTAGTTATAAGTAGGGTTATAAGGCCCATAATACGGATTATAGGAATAGTTACCCTACTTATGATCCTACTTGTTACTACCCATAAACCTCCAAGTATCGAACCTTGTAAAGCTCTTACTCAGCGCCCGACCCTCTACCAGTCCGAAAGAGCAAATCCCTAATTCCGACAGCCCCGAGATCCTATGCCATCCTTCCCCGCCTTCAAGCCCTCAAAGGGGAAAAGGAGGGACCCTTAATGGGGACCCCTACCCTATAATGGGCTATATAATGGGTATATAATAACTATATTAAGGGTATATACCTAGTGGTCCTTATTAAGGGTCCCTCCTTTTCCCCTTCGAAACCCCGCACCTTAAAGCCTAAAGCTCCAAAGCCAAAACCCTAAACCCTAAAACCCGAAGCCCTGAACCCTGAACCTCAAAATCCCAAATCTCTAAACCCCACCAATCCTAAGTCCGAACGCCCAAAGAGGCCGCCGGGGTGCACTTGACGGTCGTCCCGGGGATCTCCGGCGTGGACTATCTCGATCCCGACAGCTTCTTCGGATTGGCGGCCGAAGCCAGCGACTTTCTTGAGGGTTTAGAGGCTTTAGGGTTTAGGGCTTAGGGAGGGTCTAGAGGCTTTAGGGTTTAGGGTTTAGGGAGTTAGGGAGGGTTCAGAGGCTTTAGGGTTTAGGGTATAGGGAGGGTTTAGAGGCTTTAGGGTTTAGGGTTTAGGGAGGGTTTAGAGGCTTTAGGGTTTAGGGCTTAGGGAGGGTTTAGAGGCTTTAGGGTTTAGGGCTTAGGGAGGGTTTAGAGGCTTTAGGGTTTAGGGCTTAGGGAGGGTTTAGAGGCTTTAGGGTTTAGGGTTTAGGGAGGCTTTAGAGGCTTTAGGGTTTAGGGTTTAGGGCTTGGAGGCTTTAGGGTTGAGGATTCGGATTTTTTGGGGTATTCCATCAGGCTTCTGTAGGCTTCTTCTGAGGCTCAGGAGGAGCATGTTCGAGAGTTCTGTAGCGATTCTATGGGCTTCTGTGGGTTATTCTAGGGTTCCTGGGGGAGCCCTCAGGGCTTCGGGTTTGGGATTCCCGAATCTCTGACAGGTTCGAGGAAATAGAAACCGACACAATCTAGGATGCCCAGTAGTACCCTTATTCCCTTTTTGTAGTCCTAGGTTCCTTATAAAGTTACCCAATACCAAAAAAAGAGGCCTTTTTATTCTTAGGTTACTGGGTATCCTAGCAATGAAAGAACAAGCCAAATCTTTTTCCTCATTCCCTTCAGGTAAAGTAGAGGGAATCCTAGCAGTAATCATCCTAAATCCATGTTCCAACTTTCTGGGGTTCACTTTAGGTTACTGTTACAGGGGTTAAGACATGTTTCCTTTCCTTTTGGGGTCCTTTAGAGGGCCGGGGTTCAAGGTTAAGGATGTTGGCATAGGGTTCAGGGTTGAAAGTTGGAGAAATGAAGGTTTCGGGGCTTAGGGCTTGAGGGGTTTGCAGGTTTCCGGGTTAACGCTCCGTTTTATGTTGATGTGAGCTTTAGGCACGGATGTTTAAATGGTTTCACACTCAAGCCTTGGTGTCTTTGGTTTGCGAGTTTCCTTGGAGCCTATCATGGTGGGGAAAGCGGGCTTGTTTCCTATGCCGAGATTCGTAATACTGATACTAACAATAACAACTACAACAATAAAAGCAACAATAACAATAATACCAACAATAACAACAATAGTAACAATAATAACAATAATAACAAGAACAACAAGAATAACAATAATAACACCAATAACAGTAATAACACGATTAAGAATAGCAATAAGAATGATAACAGTGGTTGGGGGCAGGCGGTCTGACGTTCAGACCATCCCTGGGCCTTGCAGCCCTTTAAAACCCCCAGCAATACGTAGAAAGAGTTGTACTTATAGTTGAATTTAGCGCCGAACCCTCTTCTTGTGCCTATAGTGCTTTTCAGTCCTTCGATCCTAAATGCTCAACCCAATATGGAATACTAGCATACCTCGACTTAGGGGTACTTAGGAATAGTTTTTAATCTTTGGTTATTATAATCCCTAAGAAACAGCTAAAATTATAATTTTTGCTAGGGTTCTAAGTTCAGTATAGTCGAGTTTCCCCTGAGCCCTAAACCCGAAGCCTGAAGGGCGGAACCCCAGAACGACAATCGTCCCGGTGGTCTTTCGGCTTTGGGGGTTTAGGGTCTAGGAGTTTAGGATTTAGGGTTTAGGGGTTTAGGGGTTAGGGTTTAATAGAAGCTTGAACCCAGGCTATGTCTTTGCCCCTGTGGTGCGGATGCTGGAGAAGTTGGGCTACAAGGACTGTCTGGTGCTTAGTAGGGAATGGGATGATCATCCGTTAAGGTCCCCTTATAGGTAGTCCCAATAACCCACTCCCCCATTCCCTACCCAGAGAGCCCATTATCCCTTGATCAAGGAATATAGCTTAAATCATAAAAAATCAAACCCCGAATAATTTCAGGTATATTCCTTGACTAAGGGGCATAGGGTTCTCTGGGTACTAAGAACCAGACAGAGGAAGGTGTCGATCTGATCGCCGCGCCCTATGACTGGCGCTTTGCCCCTTCAGTGATGGAGAGGAGAGAGGGATCCCTCGGCTCATTTTTTTGGGGTTTAGGGTTTGGGGTTTTGGGTTTTTGGATTTAGGGTTTTAGGGTTTGGGGTTTAGTGTTTTTGGACGCTAAACCCAAGTCGGAAACCCTAGAGAGATCCTTGGCGCATTTTTTCACTTTGAACCCTAAAGCCTGAGTCCTAAGTCGTAAACTCGAAAGCCTAAACCCCAACAAGCCCTAAATCCTCAGCGCTCTACACCATGGCCTATGGGTCTTTAGGGGTACTTAGAAATGATGTTTAATTTTTGGTTATTATAATCCCTAAGAAACAGCTAAAACTGTAATTTTTGCTAGGGTTCTAAGTTCAGTATAGATACTTTGGCCTTAAAAGGGGCTTGTATAGTCTGCAAGCGGTTGGAAGAGTTTCCGGTTTCGGGCAGTTTAGGGCTTGCGGTTCAACCCTATTAGCCTAAACCCTAAACCCTAAACCCTAATTAGGGTTTAGAATGGAGGGATTCAGGGCTGCGGATGCAGCACGTTTTGAAATGGGAGTTTCCGAAAATTCGGGGTACCTTTTTTGGGGGTCCTTATAATAAGGATCCTATTATTTGGGGTACTATATTTGGGTCCCCTATTTTGGGAAACCCCCAAATTGCCTGAAAGCTCAGGATACTTCCAGCGCTTGCTCGCAAGCGTTGAATCCTTGGACAAAGACGGCACCGGGGTGATCTTGCTGGCCCATTCCATGGGTAACAAGGCAAGCTACCGGCCCTAAAACATCCTCGAGCCCTAAAGCTTAAACCTACTGCGCCTACGCGCGCTTCGCATATTTTCCAGCTGTACAGAAAGACAGTCGGCAGCGCTTGGCACTCCTAAAAAAAAGCTTAAACCCTTTGTTTTGGGGATTTCTGAGATGTTTTGGCGGAGGGGAAAAGAGGTGTTCAAGACATAAAATGCCCTAAGCCCTAGACGCTGGGCAGGTGGTGTCTTACTTCTTGGACTTTGCAGTGAAGCAGAAGGGGCACCCTGGCTCCCTGACTTCGCGTGTGTAGTT